CTCATCCTCTTCTTCCTCCTCTATCTCGCCGTCATCCGCAACCAAAATCTCGACCGCTACGTGCGCTACAACGCGATGCAGGCCGTGATTCTCGATATCCTCATGATCCTGCCGTCTCTCATCGAGCGCCTTTTCGCCGGCAACGACGGCATCTCGCTACAGCTGACGATTATTTTCTACAACACCGTGTTCCTCTACCTCTTCGCGTGCTTCGTCTTCGGCGTCGTGTCGTGCCTCCTCGGGAAGACCCCCCGTCTGCCCATCGTCGCGGAAGCCGCCGACGCGCAGGTGCCGTTTTGAGCCATGGGCGCGCGCAGGGAAGGGGGAGGGAGAGGGGGGGAGGGTGGGGGAGTGTGCGCGAGGGTGCTCGCGGGGTTCCGTCGGGCGTTCCGCTGCGGGATCCGCGGGGTGGTGAGTATGTGCTGTTTACGCGGCGCATATCTTTCAGCAATTTCTGCGTCGTCTAGTTCATGTAGAATTGACTTGCCTACGTGTTTCTTTACTTCGTAGTTCAACGTAGCTACTAAGGTTACAACTTTTTTCTTTCACTCAGTTCACTCTTGCACGGCTGCAGAGCCGCAACCAGCAGCACTGGGAATTAAACATCACTGAAAACGAACTTGTCAATCAAACAAACCAACCGTTTTTTACGAATCTGCGTTTCTTCATAACCCCCCGACTTCTCTCCCCCCTCCCCCACGCGCCCTCTCCTTCCACGGTCCACCTCCTCCCCCAACTCATGCGTCACCGCCATTCTCCTCTCCTTTCCCCTATTCTCCCCAATGTCCACTCCGCTTCTTCCACCACCATTTATCTCCCCTCGCCCCCTCGCTCACTGCCGTTCCTCTTCCCAATACCCATTAGCCTCCCCCTAACCGCCCCTCGCCTTTCTCCACACCCCCCACCCACCCTGCGATTTCCCTCTCATCCCCCTCCCTCCCTCGCCGCGTTTTTCCTCCTCTCGCCGCCACTCCCTCCCTGCTGTTCCCTCTCTCCCACTCTCCTCCTCCCCATTCCTCCCCTCCTTTCCTCCAGTTCACTGCCATTCCCCTCCGCAATCCGTCACTGACATTTCCCTCTCCGCATCACCATTTCCTTCTCCTCGCCACCATTTCCCTGGTATCTCACCTGCGTTTCCCACTCAACTGTGTTTCCCCTCACACCTCACCATGGGACCCCTCGTTAGCACCATCAAACAGCTTGCATGTACCACTGTTAAAACCCTTGGCTTCCGGCTCTGATTGGAGACTTGGGTGCGCTATCCAGATCAACTTCAAATCAAGTGGTGAAAACTCAATGGGGTGCATTCCAGACTTCCATGCTTGTCAGGCTAGGTTGGAATCGTCTAAACCAGTGCAATGCACCAGTGGTTGTCATATCTTACTGCATTAGCTTGATTTACCACCATACGATGTTTTGGTTTCAATCTGATCTGAACCAATGAATTGCTTGGGGGCACGGCACACGCACTTGCAGGCAGACCAAATCGAGGGATTGCAATGTGTAGAAAAATATGCTGGAATTATGCTTTAGAATTTGTTGTGTTCCATTAAATAAATGCAATACATTGTCTGCTGCTTTCCATGCGTTGGGTGAGATGAGCTTCTGAAAGAGTGTTCAAAAGCGAATGAAATGAGGTCATTGTAACAATTTTCCCGCTAGGCAAAAGTGGATCATTTCTGGCGAATCCTGGAATTCTATCTGGGCTCGAAGCGTCCCGACCAAATTCACTGTGAGCGCCGATGTTGGTTTCCTGTCTGGTGGGGCACGCAATGCCACCTGAACTGAATTGAAGGAAAGCGCTGCCGTGATCCGTCGACAGGTTCTTTACAGTAAACCGTACCGTACGGTATTTGGATTTCGTAACCACTTCAGGTGAGAATTCTCCCCTGAAGGCTGCCGTTCATCTCGCTGCTTATCACCCTGGCAGGACACGACGAACCGCTGCTGATGTTTTTTTTTCGCTCTCCATGTTGTCGCACCGCTGCTGGTGACGGGAGGGAGGGGTTCCAGGGAAGCGGGAGTGCGGTTCAGCAGATGCCGAAACGCCACGCCTGTGCAACGAGTGGCGCTCATTCATTCCTCTCCCCTTCTGCGAAAGTCGCTGAAATTCATTTCGCCAACTTTGCCTGCGCCTTGCTCGGGTGAATCTGAGCAGCCTCGCGTCGCATGTCGGTTCTTGATTTCTCCTGATTGCACTGGTTCTTCTCGTCTTATTTGCCTCCGCTCGGGCAAATATGCCATGCCATGCCATGTCATGGCAATTCTGTTCAGCCTTTTCGCACTGTGGCATCGCGTCGCCCTCACGCATGTCGTCTCATCAGTGGCAATTCTGTGTACATCACATCAACGCAGGACAGAACGCCAATTTCAACAAGCACACACGCAGCACCTATCTTCCCACTCGCTAGACAAGACATAAATCTCAACTTCAAACCTCAGCTGCAAACCTCCACAGGCTGAATTTCCTACCACAGTCACTCCATGCTGCTCCATTCGGGAACCGATAGAGAGTGCTGACCCACAATCAACAAGCCTTTCCAGTCTAAGCCTCAACATGCACCAGCGCTGTTAGCCTGGAGCTCTCTGTGAACCTGCGACCGTTTACTTTCTCGCAGCGTGGTTTTCCTACCGCAACATACGCACCTCCCGCAATACCCACACCTCTCGTGAAGCGATGTTTCACAGCCTCGCCTGATGCCTCCGCCACGCAGCCCCCCGTTCATTCTTCGGCGCAGCGCCAGACCAAGTTGTTAACGCTTAGCGGAGCAGCCTCCTGCTTCGTATTGTGCACTGGAGACAGGTCACATGCACCTTGCAGCAGACTCGCCGTGACGCATACTTGTAAAGAGACAGCCAACCCTTAGCCTACATCATCTACCCGCCTCAGGGAACCAGGTCACCCGGACTATCGCATCGGCCTTTCGGACCTTAGTGCCAGCGCACTACGCGGGAACCAGATCGACCGGATTAATCGCCGTGAATCGCGGGCAGTCATGGAGAGCGCGCGGAAGTGCGTACGGTGGGAGATGGGGTCGCCGCTGTGCGTTCGATCGCCCGTTTCGTCGTTCACAGCAGGCGCTTTCAGCGACGGCAAATCGCGATCCAAGGTAAAAACTTAATCGTAATAATGCACTTTTGAGAGAAGGCAGGATCATGGTTTCCCGTGTGCGATGGCCGCATCTGCGCAGCGATACCCGACGATTCGGTAGCGAGTCGTTACGCAGACCCGTTTTCGTCACGCGGTCGCACATTGACGTCACGCGGGACACGGTCGCGGATAAGTACTCGCTTCTTTAGAGCAAAGCGGCTGTGGCACTGAATGGAGGCACATAGCCGAGGGAGTGCGGGCTGTAAAGGAAAAAAGTGGGGAGGCTGTAGCAGACGCATTGCGGCGGTTGTAGCAGATGGGGAGCAGCGCAGCCATCGCTGATAGAGAGAGCGATGGTTTGCTCGAGACCAGGTGTAGTTCTGCTAGCGGGCAGGCTTAGGTTCGACGTGATCATCCCTGCCGAGCCTGGTTGTGCCGAGGCTGGCCGTGCCGAGGGTGGCCGTGCCGAGGGGGGAGGGGTGGGCAGGTGGTCAGCAGCGGAAGGACGACGCAACAGGCTTTAGGCATTCAGACGAGAAGAATCGGGAAGGAGTTAGGATCAAGAGAGACATTCCAGTTAGAGCTCGCTAAATCAGACCTGAAGCCAGGCGGACCCTTGCACCAAGCCTTTTTTGTTTTATTATTGAGGCTCCTCAACTAGGACCCTCATCCCCGCCCATTTTATCCGTTAGCCACCTCTAATCTCCCCCCCTCCCCACTCTCACCCCGCCCTCTTCCTGTCCCTCCCGCCTCAATCCCATCAGGCCTTCTCATCCCGAGTACTATCCACAGCGCGACTCGTCCTCGTCTTTATTCTCCTCGTCTTCTTCCTCTCGACGCTATGCGCCACCATCGGCGTGCCTAAAATCGATCTATCGGAGCCGGTCGTTCTGATGCGGCGCGGCGACCGCCGGCTAGTCGTCAAATACACTCCTAACTCGGCGGACGACGCTGCGACGCGCGCGATCGTGGATCCCGTCGCCGACCTGTCGCACCCGCGCCTCGCCAAGAGACGAGCGCTCATGCGATACCTGAACGAGGACCAATAACAGAAGAGGAGGGAGGTGGAGCATCTGGAGGGAGAAGGGAGGTGCATTTACAGGGGGCTGCATCTAGAGGGGAGGGGAGCAAGGGAGGTGAGCTGTGGTTGGGTCAAGGCGAGCGCTCATGAGATAGTGAAACGTGGACCAATGGCGAGGGAGAAGGTGGTGGCATCTACCTCCACCAGCCGCCGTGAGGGAGAATATGCCTCCCTCCACCGTGGAGGGGGGCGGATGGTGTGGATGTGCAGGGTGTGTGAGGCATCTACTATGCTAATGGATTGGATATGTTTAAGGTTAGGAGTGAGACGTCTCTCATAGACAGACCGCCAGACATGCTTGTAGTAGGCATGGCAGATACTACGGTAGTAGGAGACAGTGTACCATGTAAAAGATGTAACCAGATGTATATTACAGTATGAGACTAGCCTATTCAACCCTTACTGGAAAATTCCAGTTCATTTTATATCTGTTGCCACAAGTGGACCAGCTTGTATTTGGTCATACCAGTCACCATGGATGAACAGTGACTTCGGAGTTATACCGGTATTACTTCAACATCACATAAATTACTACTCCTAGGCTGATGCTGTCCTGCCTGCCACCGATTGGCTCAGGCACATGACTGCAAGCATGGCAGGTGACAAATCAAAGCAGTACGGCTTGACGTCACATGGCCTGGCCTGGCATGCCTTGGTTTAGCATGGCATGACAATCAGGCTGTGCTGACGGCTGCAGGTCTGGCCGAAGCTGTCGGCGAGGCTCGGATGACGAGCAGGCGGTCATCGGGTCCCCAGGGAATAAGTTGGTCCTTGTTGGAGGGGTTCAGGTGCCACTCCCCCCGGTGCCGATACGCTATCACCAACTCCTCACTCATGCGCACCCGCGCCTGGTGGTGGGGGGAGAGGAGGGGGGTGGGTCGGGCGGGAGGAGTTGGGTTGATAAAGGGGAGGAAGGGGGGAACTTCGCTGGGGCTGGGAGGGAAAATGGGGGGAAACGAGGCATGGAGCATGCAGGGGGAAGAAAAGCTTTTACCAGCCGCTCACCCTAACAGTTTCACATACTTCCTCTCCTTATAATCACACCTGTTCCTCCCTGCAATCACACCTGCATCTCCCAGAGGTTGAAGATGCCTGCCTCGTGCTCCCCGATAAACTCGTCTGCTCGCCGCACCGCCATGCGATTCCTCTCCGACCCGATTATCTCGTCCAACACCGTGCCCACATCTGGGATGTATGGGGGTTTGTTATGGAAGCAGAGAGGGGGAGGGGGAGGGGAGGGTGGGGGGGGGGGGGGGGGGGGGGGGGATTTGATAGATGTGATTCTCGTCTGCTCGCCGCACCGCCATGCGGTTCCTCTCCGACCCGATTATCTCGTCCAATACCGTTCCAACATCTGGCAGTGGTGGATACGACAAGAAAGAGTGGGGGGGAAGGGGAGGAGGGGTGTGTGGAGAGGTACGGGATGCATAGGGCTTTGATATGGAAGCAGAGGGGGGTAGGGGGAGGGGAAGGTGGGAGGGTGGTTTGATGAATGTGGGCCTTGGACACATTTTCTTCACGTGTGCTCGCTGCTCGCCGCACCGCCATGCGATTCCTCTCCGACCCGATTATCTCGTCCAACACCGTTCCCACATCTGGGGGTCGGAGGGGTTTGAGTGCGTGCAGGAGAGGAGGTAGGGGGGGAGGGTGGTTTGATGAATGCGTTCCACTCCGACCAAATTATCTCGTCCAATACCGTGCCCACATCTGGCGGGGAGGACACCGAGAGAGGAAAAGGGAATCGGGGAGGGGGAGGGCGAGGGGAATGCGGGGTCTTATCCCATACTCGCTGTGGGCGAGGATGGTTGACAGAGATTGATTTTGGGCAAGAAAATCCAAGAGTTCAGGGATATGGGGGGTTTGGAAATCACGCACACACTCACTCACTACCCCTCCATCTCACCCGGGTCATGCGTGATCTGAGCCAGCAATTGAGCCTCCAAGTGCTCGGGGCACACAGCGCACATGCCTCTCCAACTGCCAAGGCCTGAGAGTGCTTGCTCACCCGTACCCCAGCTAGTCTCACCCGGGCCGTGTGTGATCTGTGCCAGCACTTGCGCCTCCAGGTGCTCGGGGCACACAGCCCCGTCCAGCGCATACCTCTCCACCTCTAGAGCAAGATATAAAAGGGCCTGCTTCCCACATGGTTGAAGTAACGAAACAAAACTAACGCAGCACTCACCCCTGCCTGCCCCATCTCACCCGGGTCGTGTGTGATCTGCGCCAGCACTTGAGCCTCCAGGTGCTCGGGACACACAGCTCCGTCCAGTGCATGCCGCTCCACCTGCCTCGCCACGTCCCTCTCACTCGCCGGCACCTCTGCCACTATTGCCGCCTCTTGTGCTCCCCCCCTGGCCGTCTGCAAGAGAAAGCAGGGGCAGACAGTGGGGAGAGATCGCAGAGGGAGAGAAAACAGTGGGACCCTAGAAGCTAAACCCTGAACCTGAAACCTTGAGCCCTCTGCCTGTTTGTGGCTGAATAACAGCCGCTTGCCCTGCCGTGTCGACATGAAGAATTGGTACTGCGCCTCCCCTCCGCATTGGAGAGAATTGATTTGATTACCGCCTCCACTCTGCCTCTCCAATGCATGCCCCTCGTGTCGCAGACATGAGCAGACATGAGCAGACATGAGCAGACATGAGCAGTAAAGGAGGAGGTGAGATACAGAGTCACCTTTGGTTTCCTAACGAGTCTCGGAAATACATTGCACCGGGAGAGAAAAGCACCTGGATGCACCTGGGAAGACACCTGATAAGCACCTGAATGCTCCTGATAAGCAGCGCGGTCACTGTAGCCTGTGAGCTGTCCACCATGCCAGCATCCTCCTCCTCGTCCTCCCCGTTCTCCCCCCCGTTGACTTGCGTTGACTGCAGCAGAATCACCGAGTCGACGGTCTCAAGAGGCAGCGACTCCAGCACCTCCCGGTCTGCTGGGCTGCCTCGCTCTGGTGTGTGGGGGGGGGATGGAATGGGAAGGAAAAGAGGGAGTGGGGGTGGCGGCTGGGGTTTGAGAGGGCATGTCGACTTGCATTGACTGCAGCAGAATCACCGAGTCGACGGTCTCAGGAGGCAGCGATTCTAACACCTCCCTGTCTGCTGGGCTGCCACGCTCTGGTGTGGGGGGGGGGGGGTGGGATGGGAAGTGTTGGGAGACACGTTGACTTGCGTTGACTGCAGAAGAATCACTGAGTCGACGGTCTCAAGAGGCAGCGACTCTAACACCTCCCTGTCTGCTGGGCTGCCACGCTCTGTGAAGAGGAGGTGGGGAAAGGGACGAAGGAGTGGGCGTGAGGTGGCGGTTGGGGTTGGGTTGGGAGGGCACGTTGACTTGCGTTGACTGCAGCAGAATCACCGAGTCAACTGTTACTAGGGGTAGCGACTCTAGCACCTCCCTGTCTGCTGGGCTGCCACGCTCTAAAAAAGGGGGAGGATGGGAGGAGGGGTGAGGAAGGGAGAGAGTGGGAATGGGAGTTAGGTGGGCGCTGGGGCGTGTTTTGGGGTGTTGGGGAGAGGAGGGAGGAGAAGGGATGAGAGGGGAAGAAGCGAGGGGGGGTGTTGGGCCACTGCGCTCTATGTGTGTGAGTGGTGGAGAGAGGGTGGGGTTTGAAGTGGAAGGGAAGAGGAAGGGAACGAGCTGGGTGGTTAGGCCGTCCTGACTTGCATTGAACGCAGTAGTAGATCCACCTTCATGCCCCTGACCCAACTCCCTGCCCCCACTCCCTGCCCCCACTCCCTGCTCCCACTCCCTGCTCCCACCTCGCTGCCCTCACCTCCCTGCAACCTCCACTCACTGATGCGGATGGGGAGCTTTTTGTGCCTGCGAATGTTCCCCAGCAGCAGCTCGTCTGTTGGGGAGATGTGAGTCGCCACCACCGTCACCTCACTGCCTTGTGCCAGTATCGAGGGCAACAGCTCCACCAGCTGCTTTGCTTCCGGCCGCCATCCGCATATAAGCACATGCTGCTTGCCACCCACGCTGCTGCTGCTGGTGCCACGTGGCGCTTTCTGAGTGGCTGCCGGGACAGCTGCAGCAGTGAGCTCGGACGGCGGGGGCGGCAGGCGGCTGGGTCCCGGGCGGTAGCTGTTGCGATCCGCTGCTATCACTAGGAGCTTGTCTCCAGGCTGATGAGGGCGGAGGGGAGATATAAAAGGAAGGTGTTGGGAAATTGGGAGGGGGACAACATAAGAGGCGGCTGGGTCCCGGGTGGTAGCTGTTGCGGTCTGCTGCAATCACGAGAAGCTTGTCCCCGGGCTGATGAGGGGCGGGGGTGTAGGGGGAGAGGAAGGAGTACAGGGGGTGGAGGGGGTGGGGAAGAGAACAAGTACAAGTGCCATGAGTACAGCTGGGTCCCTCGGGGTAGCTGTTGCTATCTGCTGCGATCACAAGAGGAGGGGGAGAGGGAAGGGATGCAGCTGAAGGGGGCAGCTGAAGGGGGCAGCTGGAGGGGGCAGCTGGAGGGGAGGGGATGGGGAGAACTAGGAGTAATGCAGCAAGGCGAGGGACAAGCTGTGAGCGTACCTCTATGAGCGTCCAGCTGGGCGGGTTCACGAGCACCTCGCCCATTGTGCTACCAGCACCACCGGAAGCATCGGGTGCGGTGTGGTGCTTGGGAGCCTTCATGAGCCCACAGGGGGTGGCGTTGTCAAATAGAAAGAGCGCATCGCCAAACGTGCGCCCCACTAGCTCTAGCCTGAGGGGGCGTGGAGTGGAGGAAGGGCATGCGTAGGCGAATGGGAATGGGAAGGTGTGTGGAGGATTTAGGGTGTGCAGAGGGCAGGCAGGCATGGATGAGCCCTCAGCGGGTAGCAGAATCAAAGAGGAAGGGTGCGTCCCCAAATGTGCGGCCCACCAGCTCTGGCCTGTTGGTGTGGAGAGGGTTAAAGAGGCGTGGAGGGGATGGGTGTGGGCGTGTGCCCGGCATGCAGGCACCGCATGAGCCCACAGGGGGTGGCATTGTCGAATAGAAAGAGTGCAAACGTGCGCCCCACCAGCTCTGGCCTGTGGGGGTGTGGAGGGAAGGGCATGCGTAGGGAAATGGGAATGGAAAGGCGTGTGGATGGGATGGGCGTGGGCAGGGCAGGCAGGCATTCATGAGCCCACAGCGGGCGGCGGAGTCAAAGAGAAAGAGAGCATGCCCAATCGTGCGCTCCACCAGCTCTGGCCTGTTGGTGTGTGGAGGGAAGGGTGTGTGAGGGATAGGGATGAAGCACCATGTACAAACGTATTCCCTTGTGTGTGCAATGCAGCACTTGCATTTGTCAAAAGCACCACTCACCACTCCTCAAATCCACACCAACCACTCCACACCAACCACTCACCACTCCTTGAAGTAGAACTCGTCGTTCTCGAAGTCAAGCAGGTCAGCAGTGACGTCAGCGGTGCCGCGGTGCACAGCAGCGGACAGCAGTGTGCGCAGCGAGAGGTTCTCCGCCGCCACCGGCACCAGCCGCCTCCTCCTCCTCCTCGTGCTCCCGTTCCTGCTACATGCCACCCACCGTTGCTGCTGCTGTTGGTGCTGGTGGTGATGCTGCTGCTACCGCTCTCATCGTCCTTCAGAACGAGCATGCACTCACCACTACTCGAATGCAACACTCACCACTCTTTGAAGTAGAACTCGTCGTTCTCAAAGTCAAGCAGGTCAGCGGTGACGTCAGCAGTGCCGCGGTGCACAGCAGCGGACAGAAGCGTGCGCAGCGACAGGTTCTCCGCCGCCACCGGCACCAGCCGCCTCCTGCGCCCCCTCATGCCAGTGGGCGGTGCTTGGGCAGTGGTGGCGGTGGTGGAGGGGGAGGGCGCGAGGAGGGTGCGGTGGAGGCGTTGCAGCAGGCGCACGTTGGAGAGTGAAGAGAGCTCCGCGATGATGTCAGCGCTGATGTCAGCGCGGTTGGCGAGTGCGAGACTGGCTTGGATCACCTGAAGGGAGGGCAAAAGGGATGGGTTGGGTTCAGCGGAAGCGTTACAGCTGGTGGGAGCGAAGAGAGCTCTGCGATGATGTCAGCACTGATGTCGGCACAGTTGGCCAGGGCCAGACTGGCTTGGATCACCTGAAAGGAGGGGTGGGATCGGTGGGAGGGATGTGGCAGGTGGGAGGGGTGCGGATGTCAGCACTGGTGTCTGGCTGGTTGGATTCGTGAGCGCCAAGGTGGCTTGGATCACCTGGGTGGAGGGGAGGGAAGGGGGTGGCAGGTGGGAGGGTGGGTTTGGTTAAATAGATGCTCTATGAGGCGAATGGTGTGAAAGGCAGGCGATTCCCAACAGACGATTCTCATACCCAATCACACCATGCCACGCAATGGCAGCAAACAGCACCACAGCCTAACGGACTCACGAAGGCGTCGGCTTGCGACACCATACCACACCGGCAGCAGCAGCATCCACCATGGTTCCAAGAAGAAGGGCAAGCTTTAGCCATGGGGTGCCATTGCAACATACTAGCTCTGATCTCTCACTCAGCCATAGGTGTGTCATTATCCGAGCCTTTCTACATCATGCCATTCTTCTTGGAACCATGGTCGGAGACGGGCGGGGAGAGCAGCACAACGGAGCGAGCAGCGTCAGCAGCACAGCGCGCCACACCACACCACATATACCGCATCACACCACACCACAACACACCACCACCACACCACATTGCAACACAGCACAGAGAGCTCACGAAGGCGTCGGCTTGAGAGGGGTCGGAGACGGGCGGGGAGAGCAGCACAATGGAGCGCGCAGCGTCAGCAGCACAGCGCGCCAGGTCCTCCGAGTGGAATGGCGAGCCGGTGCGCGTCACAATCTGATGAGAAACAGTGCACAATAGGCACATGGGAGGCAAAGAGATGTAGGGGAGATCAAATCCGTGCGGGGTGTACAAGTGTTGAACTGCAGCGTCAGCAGCACAGCGCGCCAGGTCCTCAGAATGGAATGGCGAGCTGGTGCGCGTCACAATCTGGTGGGTGCGATGGAAAACGGGAGCCGGGAGCGGGAAGGGAGAACTAACGAAGGCGTGCACAAGTGGTAGGTCTAGCAGCATCAGCATCAGCAGTGCTGCAGCACGCCGGGTCTTCTTAAAGGAAGGGCGAACAGCCGCGCGTGGCAGGCTGATGAGAACCAGTATGCATATGGAATGGGAGAGGAGAGTCAGAAGGAAGGGGGAACAAGTGGTAGGACCGTGGGGCGCTCAAGAGCTAGGTGCCCTGTTCATCTCCTCCTTGCCCTTCCCGTCTGCCAGCACCACCATCCTTAGGTGCACCCTGTTGACTCGATTGTTTCGTACCTGCCCGCCGCCCGCTTTCTGCCTTTCGCTCTTGGGAATGGCATCCAGCAGTGCACTGTCCATCTCCCCCTTGCCTATTGTGCCCCGCCTATTGACTCCTGTTGCCCACCTTGACTCTCTTGACTCAATTGCATTTCGTGTTTCCTACCTGCCCGCCGCCTGCCTTCTGTCGCTCGCTCTTGGGAATGGCATCTAGCAGCGCACTGTCCATCTCCTCCTTGCCCTTGCCACCCGCCAGAACCACCACCACCTCAGGTGGTGCAACCGTATTCACTCTCTTGCCTATCTTTACACGCTTGCCTCCCTTGCCTCTCACCTGCCCGCCTCCCGCCTTCTGTCGTTCGCTCTTGGGAATGGCATCTAGCAGCGCACTGTCCATCTCCTCCTTGCCCTTGCCACCCGCCAGCACCACCACCGCCCGACTGCCGTCCGCCCCCACCAGCTGCTGCACCAGGGGGATAGTGCGCGGGGTCCAGCCTGCGAGTGGGGAGAGGGTGTGGGAGAGGGAGGGAGTTGTGAGGGGAGGGCCTTGTTGAGACGCTCCGACTGCCATCCGCCCCCACCAGCTGCTGCGCCAGCGGGATGGTGCGGGGGGTCCAACCTGAGAGTGGGGAGAGAGGAGGGAGGGCGGGGTTCGGGGCACGGGGAGAAAGGAAAGTGGGGAAAAAGGGGATACCATTTGGTGGCTGCAGGGAGCCACCGCCGCCCGACTGCCGTCCGCCCCCACCAGCTGCTGCACCAGCGGGATGGTGCGGTGCGGGGGGTCCAGCCTGGGAGGGGGAAAGGGGGTGGGGGGGGGGGAGGGGAGCGAGGGGGTGGGGGGAATGGGTGCCATTGTTGATACTCACGAGGGGAATGGAGCGGTGGGTCCAACCTGAGAGAAGGAGCCTCGCTCCATGACAGACCCCTGTGTGCCCTTGTTTGGACAATTGCTCATATCTTCCACTTGCTCTTTGTGCCCCTGTGCTTCCTGACAGGTATACAAGCGCAAGTAGCCACCCACTCACCCACGAACAGCACGTGCCCACGCTCCATAACGGCCCCCTTGCCCTTGCACAGATCGTCCACCTGCTGCTACTGTGCGTGCATGCAAGTAGGCACTGCAAGCCACTCACCCACCAGCAGAAACTACTTGTAGCAATCACGCAATCACTCGCCCACGACCAGCCAGCACGTGCCCGCGCTCCATGACGGACCCCTTCCCCTTGTTCAGATCGTCAACCTGCTGCCACTGTGCTTCTTCACTTCCCGCTGTCGGCCTACAGGAATGCACTCGCTACTAGCCACCCACCCAACACCAGCAACAATCACTCACCCACGACCAGCACGTGTCCGCGCTCCATGACGGCCCCCTTGCCCTTGTTCAGATCGTCCACCTGCTTCGCCACGCCATCAGTGGCCAGACCCACCAGCAGCGCCAGCAGCAGCAGGCCCTTGATGGTCAGCACCACCGACAGCACCCGCTTCCAGATTGAGTCCTGGGGTGGGGAGGTGGGGGGAGATCGCAGAGCAGGGGACGTGAAGAGGGAGGGTGGTGGCACTGGGAAGGTCACGGCTGCCAGACCCACCAGCAGCGCCAGCAGCAGCAACCCCTTTAGTGTCAGCACCACTGACAGCACCCGCTTCCATATCGAGTCCTGGAGTAGGGTGAATGGAAAGGGACGTGAATGGGAAGCGGTGGTGATGGGAAACCAAGGCCACTAGTGAGAGAAACCACCAGCAGCGCCACCAGCAGTGCTAGCAGCAGCAAAGCACCACCGACAGCACCCGCTCATATGGAGTCCTGGGGTAGGGTGAATGGGAAGGGACGCGCATGTGATGACAAGTGAAGGAAGGGATGGTATGGTGTTGGGAGAGTGAAGGGGATGTGAAAGAGTGGTATTGGAGAGATGATTGCTACCATACCAGACCCACTAGTACAGGCACCGGCAGCGTCAGCAGCAGCAGACCCTTGATGGTGGGCGACTGGGCGGGCAGGTGGGAGGGGGGCAGGGGGGCACCTCCACTCCACTCCATTCCACTCCACCCCACCCCACCCCACCCTCTGGCTCACCTGAGCGCCCTGCTGGCCGGGGTCTGACAGCATGGTCCACGAGACCCACACAGCCTCGCCAAATGGCACGTCCTCATTGGTCGCCTTGGCTGCAGCGATGAAGGCTCCGGCTCCCAGCAGCATGAGGGCCACCCAGAGGACAGAGAGCAGCAGGAGCTGGGGGAAAAGGGGGGGAGAGAGCGGGGGAAAGGAAATATGATTGGGGCGGCTCAAACATTTGTGAACTTGAAGGTTTCCAGCAGCATGAGGGTCACCCAGAGGACAGAGAGCAGCAGGAGCTGGGGGGGGAGGGGAAGGGGAAGGGAAGAGAAGGGGGGAGGTAGGGTGTTTGAGGCAGTTTAGACATCTCATCACTTGGTTCCCAGGAGCATGAGGGCCACCCAGAGGACCGAGAGCAGCAGGAGCTGGGGGACAGAGAGGAGGGGAGGAGGGGCAAGGGGGAAGGACGAGGTGATTGAGGCAGATTAGACATCTCATCACTTGGCTTGGCTCCCACGAGCATGAGTGCCACCCAGAGGACTGAGAGCAGCAGGAGCTGGGGGGAAAGGGAGGGAGAGAGCGGGGGAAAGGAAATATGATTGGGGTGGCTCAAACATTTGTGAACTTGAAGGTTCCCAGGAACATGAGTGCCACCCAAAGGACAGAGAGCAGCAGGAGCTGGGGGACAGACAAAAAGAAGGACGAGGTGTTTGAGGTGTTTTGGACCAAGGCGACAACCCACCAAGGCACAACACACCCAGGGAAGAAAGGAAACCTTCCCGTTGTCATTTGCCTTACCTCACCTTCCCCGAGGGTTCAGTGGTGAGAAAAAGGTCGATGGCATAGGGGGCCTTGTCTGTGATGCGACCGTCGTGCCCAGCAGTACGGTGCAGAAGCAAAGCTTTCCCTTTGAAGAATTCTCATTCATCTGCTCGCCTCACCTTCCCCGAAGGTTCAGTGGTGAGGAAGAGGTCGACGGCGTAGAGGGCCTTGTCTGATGAGACCGTTGTGCCGGAGCAAAGAGATCCCTTCTGAAGCATCCTCGTTCATTCATCTGCCTTGCTCACCTTCCCAGAAGGTTCAGTGGTGAGGAAGAGGTCGATGGCATAGAGGGCCTTATCGGTGATGCCTGCTCGCTGCTGGGGTGACTTGAGCGCCGCTGGACTGGCTGTGCCGGGTGGGGGCGGGGTCAGCACGATCTGAGAGGGGTGGAGAGCGGTGGAAAGGGATAAAATGGAGGGATTGAGAGAGATCGATGGCATAGAGGGCCTTATCCGTGATGCCTGCACGCTGCTGGGGTGACTTGAGCGCCGCTGGACTGGCTGTGCCGGGTGGGGGCGGGGTCAGCACGATCTGAGAGGGGTGGAGAGCGGTGGAAAGGGATAAAATGGAGGGATTGAGAGAGATCGATGGCATAGAGGGCCTTATCCGTGATGCCTGCACGCTGCTGGGGTGACTTGAGCGCCGCTGGACTGGCTGTGCCCGGTGGGGGCGGGGTCAGGACGATCTGAGGAAGGGAGGGAGGAGAGGGGGAAATCGGGGGAAAGAGGGGGAAAGCGGGGGTGCGAGGAAGGGGTTTATGGAGGTGGAATAGAGAGCTGTGAAAATCAGCTCTTTCTGTCTGACCTTACTCCACGCGTTCCACACTCCCTCACTCTCTTTTCCAATTTCCAGCCATAGCCACCACGAGCAAGATGGGTATGTGCGACAGTTCAAACGTCCTCCTCACGCACCCTCTTACCCGCTACCAGTCCCCCCACCAGTCCCCCCCATCCCCCCATCGGTCTCCCACCTGTCACACACCACTCCTGCTGCTGACAAGGTGCCACATGAAAGGTGGGTCAGCCCATCTCACCTGGTTGCTGGCAGCAGCGGCAGGGGGAGGGCGCAGCAGAGCGGCGAAGGGAGCACCCCCTCCTCCTCCCAGGCGCCAGGAGAGGGAGGAGAAGAACGTGGCTGCAGCTATGGCCGCCGCGAGTAGAGGGAGGAGGACGGAGCGAGGGAGCGGAGAGGGGAGGAGAGAGGAGAGACTGGGAGTACGTGGCGTGGGTGGGGTGGGGATGGGTGTTGAAGCAGCAGCGGTGGGTTTGGTGTTAAGTGAGGGAAGTTCTGATGGGTGGAGTGCGGTGCTGTCGTTGGATGCTTGCTGCGGAGGAGGGGAGGAAGTTGGGGGAAGAGAAGGGCGAGTAGGGAGGGAGTGGAAGGAGGGAGATTTGGAGCCATGACAGGGAGCAACAGGAATGGCACGGAATGACAGGGAATGGCACGGAATGGCATGGATCGACATGGAATGACAGGGAGTGACAGGGAATGGCATGGAATCACAGGAAACGGCTGGGAGTGGAAGTGAAATGGATTGGACGAGGACTGAGACGAACTGAGAGAGAATGACACTGGAATGGACGCAAGCTGACACGGAATGGCATGAACTGACACGGAATGGCATGAACTGACACGGAATGGCATGAACTGACACGGAATGGCAGGAACTGACACGGAATGGCATGAACTGACACGGAATGGAATAAACGGACACGGAATGGCACAAACGGACACGGAATGGCATAAACGGACACGGAATGGCATAAACGGACACGGAATGGCCACGAAAAGAAAGCACCTCCTCAGGGCCGTCCGAGGCAGCGCGAGGAGCGACGACGCTTCGCTGGCGACTGCGAGATGCCGAAAAGAACGGAGATGTCAACCTCCTTACTGACGGAGACGTCCTATTGGTCCATTTTGTGGACAATGCTGGACCTAACGTGGCGACATTCGCGACATTGTGTGCGACATTGTGTGCGACTTGTCGCCGACGATGCGAGATCACGGCGTCCAGGCCTCGCATTGAGTTCTGCACCGTAACGATCGGCGGCGGCGCGAGAACCGACTCCATGGCGACCCGAACCTCTATAAGTTCAAAATGTTGCCAGCAGGGTCCGGAAACCACGGGATAATCAACGCGAGCAGAAACTGCACCGCGTACGGTTCAATGCACTGCCTGGAGAGGTCCCTGATAGACAGAGGGATCGAATGCGGTGCGTTACTAAAGAGCTTCAAACTACTGAACGCGTCTCGTGGTTTTTGTGCAGTGTGAGCAATGCACCACTGGCTGAACTGAACTGATGTACTTTCATTCATCTCATATTCACAGCTTCGGCGGCATTGCCATCGCCGAACGAGCCAACTTCATCGGCTGGTCCCGTGAAGTGAAAGATGGAGAGCATGACGCAGAATACCTTAGATCAAGTACGGTTAGTGAAACTGTGTATGCGGTTTTGAGCCCCTACAAAGCGGTTGGCCTACTAAGCTTCCTGTGGGAGAGCTCATCTTCGTTACGTGAAAGAAGGAACATGGACCACCGGGAATACACGATATATCAGCCCCGTTATCAGCACAACCGAACCCTTTCATGAGAGCCGCAGCTCAAATTGTTAAGTCTCAATTCGACTGCTCCATTGCTATGGTATTAGACTACTGGTTGCCCATTAAACACCCCTTTCGTGATCAAGCAGGCCCAGGTGGGCTGCTCCCCTTGAATCCATTGAATGGCTGGCTATCATATAATCATGCACCCCTTTCACTTCAAGCACAATTACGTGGAGTCGGCTGCTCCATCCAAACCCGAATACGTTGTTTTCTGTCACAGAGCCCCTCCGTAGTCAAGTTAATCACGATAGCAACGAAGCGACTGTTTTCACAGATGTGATGATGAGGAGACACGAGTGGTAGAGGAGGAAGCAGAGGATGAGAGCTCCAACAGTGTCTTCGTGGGTAGTAAGATGACAGAATACAACAAACAGATTATTACACAGTGAAAGGCATGGTTAAGGAAAGCTTGGGTACATTGAAAGGTGGGACGAGAACCACAAGAACCAAGCTATTTTAAGCAAAATAGAAAAGTGGGAAGAGAAAAAAAGTTGGAGGAAAGAGTGTGTGTAAGGAGAAGGGGACTGGAAGGCAGGATTTGCTAGAAGTTGGTGGGACAATAAGAAAGCATATGTGCAGGAAAGGCATGATGCAATGCAAGAGGGAAGCAAAGAACGGGTAAGGCTTGGAAAGAGGGGTTTGATTGGGTTCGAGTGGGTTGAAAGGGCTGCTTGACCGCTGAGAGGATACTGACTAGGAGGACCTCCCACCAATCCAGGATGTAGAGGCCAAAGGTCACATTATACAGGGTAATCTTGCCGTTCACCCATGTGACTAACTGCCTCCAAGTCGACCGCTGCTGATGGTGTCGTCTCTGCGCTTGCACGGGAAATGGCAAATCACAAAGAAGCCCGGAGAGTGAGCTTGCGAACAGGTTGGTTACCTGGAAGCATAGCGTCGTGCTGATAAGGAAGCAAGCCATATCCCACCAACCATGGGAATGAGCATAGTGAGCATACATAACTCATAAGCGGACATCGTATGCAGTCTGCAATGACGTACCGCGAGAAAATCCGCATGGGCCTTGAAAGCGTTTCTGTCTTCCAAAGGAATCTCGTCTTCACTTAGCGTACTTGCTAGCCGTTCTTTGCATTCCGTTCCCATTATTCCTAACTCTAAAAACAACGACCACGCTGTTAAAATTCGCTACGCGATGCGATCGCACGACGCAAAAGGCCTATAGTGGCGGAATGATCGCAACTGTCAGCAGGCTAACAAATTACGGTGGTCAGTAGTGGCCACGCTGTGCAAGGAATTCGTTCTAAGAATCGCGCTCTTGCCGCCTTTTCCTTAGCAACGTGATCCGCGACTCATTGGCGTCATCAGCATGATCTGCTTCAGCTCGCTTCAAATCGCTGAGCAAGACCGTAGCTTGCTAGACTCAGCGAGGTCATTTGCAGCTTCGCGGGTAAGAAAACCCTATAGAGCCCCGAGGAAAATTACACTGACCATCGGCAACCTGCCTAGGAGGTATGGTAGCTATGACGCGACAAGCGGAGCGTGCATGGCTGGCCGTTCTGAAGCTGCTGCCCTGAGGAGCAGGTGAGGAGGAATCTGTGGTGAAGAGGTGGAGAGGAGGACATACGCGTCACAAGATTCACAAGATTATCCGGTATGCTACGTCATGTGAAACATGCCTATCTAGGCAAGGTCTCACTTTTGGGGTGACTTTCTTTTAAAAATAAATAATAAAAAGGATAAACCGCAAACACAGATGCAGACTACCAACGCGCACAAACGTGCGTCCCACCCTATTTGGGGCGGGCCCACCCCGGGGCGTTGTGAGCCATTTTTGCTCGAAATCGCGAAACGGTCCGCACGGGTGTAGAAAAATGCGAATCGCATGGCAATTCTTCGCACGATCCGGCACGCCATACCCCCACGCGCCATCCAGGATGAGTCTTGGCTCCTAACGCGCACAAACGTGCGTCCCACCCTATTTGGGGCGGGCCCGCCACGGGGCGTTCTGAGCCATTTTTGCTCGAAATCGCGAAACGGTCCGCACGGGTGTAGAAAAATGCGAATCGCATGGCATTTCTTCGTACGATCCTGCACACCATACCCCCACGCGCCATCCAGGATGGGTATTGGCTCGAAACGCGCACAAACGTGCGTCCCACCCTATTTTGGGCGAGCCAACCCCGGGGCGTTCTAAGCCATTTTTGCTCGAAAACTTGAAACGGTCCGCACGGGTGTAGAAAAATGCGAATCGCAAGGCATTTCTTCGTACGATCCTGCACGCCATACCCCCACGCACCATCTAGGATGGGTCTCGGCTCCAAACGCACACAAACGTGCGTCCCACCCTATTCGGGGCGGGCCCGCCCCGGGGCGTTCTGAGCCATTTTTGCTCGAAAACGCGAAACGGTCCGCACGGTTGTAGAAAAATGCAAACCGCATGGCATTTCTTTGCACGATCCTGCACGCCATACCCCCACGCGCCATCCAGGATACGTTTTGGCTTCAAACGTGCACAAACGTACGTACCACCCTATTTGGGGCGGGCCCGCCCCGGGGCGTTGTGAGCCATTTTTGCTCAAAATCGCGAAACGGTCCACACGGGTGTAGAAAAATGCGAATCACATGGCAATTCTTCGCATAATCCGGCACGCCATACCCCCACGCGCCATCAAGGACGAGTTTTGGCTCCAAACGCGCACAAACGTGCGTCCCACCCTATTTGGGGCGGGCCCGCCCCGGGGCGTTGTGAGCCGTTTTTGCTCGAAATCGCGAAACGGTTCGCACGGTTGTAGAAAAATGCAAATCGCATGGCATTTCTTTGCACGATCCTGCACGTCATACCCCCACGCGCCATCCAGGATGGGTCTCGGCTCCAAACGCGCACAAATGTGCATCCCACCCTATTTGGGGCGGGCCCGTCCCGGGGCGTTCTGAGCCATTTTTGTTCGAAAACGCGAAACGGTCCGCACAAGTGTAGAAAAATGCGAATTGCATGACATTTCTTCGCACGATCCGGCACGCCATACCCCCACGAGCCATCTAGGATGGGTCTCGGCTCCAAACGCGCACAAACATGCGTCCCACCCTATTTGGGAAGGGCCCGCCCCGGGGCGATCTGAGCCATTATTGCTCGAAAACGTGAAACGGTCCGCACGGGTGTAGAGAAATACGAATCGCATGGCATTTCTTCGCACGATTCTGCACGCCATACCCCCACACGCCATCCATGACAGGTTTCGGCTCCAAATGAGCACAAATATGCGTCCCACCCTATTTGGGGCGGGCCCGCCCTAGAGCGTTCTGAGCCATTATGGTTCAAAAACGCGAAACGGTCTGCACGGGTGTAGAAAAATGCGAATCGCATGGCACTTCTTCGCGCGATCCTGCACGCCATACCCCCACGCGCCATCCAGGATGAGTCTCGGCTCCAAACGCGCACAAACGTGCGTCCCACGCTATTTAGGGCGGGCCCGCCCCCGGGCGTTTTGAGCCATTTTTGCTCGAAATCGCGAAACGGTCCGCACGAGTGTAGAAATATGCGAATCGCATAAGCCAGTTTTCACACGGTCCGGCACGCCATACCCCTACGCGCCATCCAGGATGAGTCTCGGCTCCAAACGTGCGTCCCACCCTATTTGGGGCGGGCCCGCCCCGGGGCGTTATGAGCCATTTTTGCTCGAAATCGCGAAACGGTCCGCTTGGGTGTAGAAAAATGCGAATCGCATGGCATTTCTTCGCACGATCCTGCACGCCATACCCACACGTGCCATCCATGATAAGTCTCGGCTCCTAACGCGCACAAACGTGCGTCCCACCCTATTTGGGGCGGGCCCGCCCCGGGGCGTTGTAAGCCATTTTTGCTCGAAATCGCGAAACGGTCCGCACGGGTGTAGAAAAATG